CCTGGGAACGCACCGTCGATTTTTTAGAGAGCGCCTTCGTGGGCGCCAGTTGGTTAGGGCCAGTATACTGCTCCAACTGAAGGTGTGAGTTCACCCGGCAGGAAAGTAAATTTTCTAAGGGCTGTAAAAAACTGAGCAATCAACAATGGAGACTGTGAAGCTCCCGTGCGCCTTGGATGACCACGTTAAAAATGGCCAGTCCCGTTCACTCCGTGTACTAGGAATGGGAGCGTTAGAGAACCCCTGAGGTGCCAGAAAAAACTGGCTGTGACCACCCTCGGTGCATTCTGCCTAAAGGCTTAACGTACCTACGGCTTTACCAAAGCGTACGGTACACCTCATGGCTAGCTTTAGCCTGGACGTTTTATTCTTACAGGGAATGTCCTGCGTTATTATCCACGTACCGTTGGGTACGCAGTAAAGTCTTATCAGATCAAGGATCCACGCACGCACACGCCGCCACACTGACACGTATCAGTTTATTATCTCGAATTACATACAGCCATTTATGTGTCAGCGTGTGCGGGCAGCGTGTATGTGTGGATGGATAGGTCGTTGCAGACAGCATTTGCACGCCAACTTACTAGATACGGAATATGTAACCCAACCGGAGGGGAGTAGGGTTACAACCGTACTATCTACACCCCCTATTCACTCCTGCGTGTTCGGTTACATTATTGACTATACTATATATATAGGCCCTGGCTATTAGCACTTTACTGGGCAAAAGAGCAGTAGAGACACATAAGAACTTTTGGGGTTCAGTAAATATATTCGTATTTATTTTAGGATTATACTTCATTGAAACCGCTCCTAAAGTTTGTAAATTGTAATTGTAGGCCTTGCGGCGTGATAACTATAATTAACTGTGGTTAATGTCAACTAATGGTAGTGCCATTGGCATGGATGCGATGAAAACAAGTGCTACCCACACTTTCAGTGTTTGCAGATGTCACTGCAAGTGCCACACTCACTCACGGAGATATTAACAACATCACATATGGTAAACGCACATTTAACAAGTGGTTGTCGAACTGCGAATGTAGAAACTAGTATATTACTAACACCTTTATCATTTAACTGCTTGATTATAATTATTATTATTATGATGATTATGAACAAACCTATGGAACAAACACTGAAACTCTGCTGAAACTCAACCATAAAACCCCGCCGCAATCACAACAACCGATAGGGGCAGGGATAAAATCAGAATGATATTATGGTGTTAAAAACCAAGAAGTTGCTATTTTGCACTTACTTTTACAGTAAAACGCATATAATTGTATACGTTATTTAATGATAGCAACGAGAAATTTGTAGTTCTACTTCTAGGTAAATGAAATTTACTCAGCAGTTATCACATCGTAATTTACTACAACCTCGGATCTGGTAACGAGAGAAATGGCAGAAGTTGAGGCTGTGCCACCAACTCCGCTGTCTGTCCAGTGGGCAGGTAAATGTAGTTCGCAAAATGAATATAACATTCTGTAGTATTTGTGTTAACATAAACACGTATCTAAAAATATACTCTGCACTGTTAATTGCCGCAGTTTCCCACAGAAATTTTGCTTTATGAAGCCAGGATTTTGTTTGTATCGCTATTTCGCCAAGCAATTTGCATCATGGGAAGCTTCCACTGCGCGTGCGCATAATTGTCCAATAAGAAAGAATATTGATGTTACGGTTGTTACCGTGTTCAGTTGAGATTCAAACAGCGAAATTGAAAGCTGGTTTTGTTTTTCATCGTATTTTACACCGTTTTCTTTACGAAATACGTATTTGTCATTTCGAAGAAACCACGGGTAGGTATGTATTTAAAAGTGAGCTTCTTTGGATTGTCGGAGCGTTCAAGTAAAGGCATAATTATGGCTGTAACAGTTCAGCGCGTAATCCAAAAAATTCAAACACGTAAATAACGCTGAGACGAGGGTCTATGTGAGATTGTGACGTATGTCCCCCAGGTAGATAATCATACAATATGTCAATAATGTAACCCAAACACAGGATAGGGTTACTACGCGAGCCTATCCTTTTGTGTGGAGGAAGCCCGAGGAACCCCTGAGTGAATCACTCAGGGAGGTTTGCTGGTGCCTTTTCAGAGACTATAAGTTAACTAACTATAGACGAAACTGGGTTTATTCTCAACACGAACCTTTCTGCTCTATCCTGGAACTTACTATGTATCACAATACTC